CAATCTCTATAAAGAATTCAAACATAAAGTAGAAAGTTTATTCCCACAGGAGATTTCCAAACTAAGAAATTAATTGCTAATAAAATAAAAGTGAATGAAACTAGAGGTCTAGGTTTTACCTCATGGGACCTAATGAGTATTACCCCATGACAACATATTCTTCCTAACAACCTCAGCCTGTTCCCTGGGCACAGTCACAGACTATTTCTGATCCTTTGTACTCTTTAGATGCAAATAATAGAAATCAACTCAAGCTAGCTTAAGTTAAAAGGGGAAACTGTACAAAAATCCAGGAATTATTCTCTCATGGGACTCCACAGGGACACAGGTGAGTGTCAAGAAGGAAGGGAACCTACAAATGGAAAACTTCTGGGAACAAGGGTTCCATCTCTTCTTCTTTCTATCTCTCTCTGTCTCTCTCTCGCTGACTTCCAGTTCTATTTCTCTCTAAGCCTATTTCTTTCTCCACTGCTGGGCCTCTTCTCTCTCTAGATTGCAGGGCAGAAGGTGGTCACCGATGAGTCTCAAATCTGCATGCTTTGCATCCATCTTATTTCATATCCCTGGAAGAATTTTGGTTGGCCCAGCTTAGATCAAGCACCTTCTCTGATCCATTCAATGGCCTCTAGGAGAAAGGGATCAGATTGGACCACGTGGCTGCCCGAAGGGCAGGGCCAGGGGGTGGCCCACCATGGATGAAGAATGGCAGAACACCCAGCAGGTGCCCACCACACCTCACCACAGGCCGACCCTTAACCAGCACTGCCGTAACTCTGACAACAAACTGAATTGCACACTAAACCTTAATCCTAGCCCAGGAATTTCACTTACACTGATCTTCTAAAACACACACACAACTAATAAAGAGGTCTTTGCATTTTCATTGCTTCACTTACTTCTGGGAAAATGTGGTTTTTGCATAGTGAATTTTGTTGAAAATCATGTTTGCTTGCTGTAAAATACCTGAGTGAAAACTAAATGATGAAAGGGAAAAAATCTAGTTCTTTCCAAACATTCCTAAAAACCTGGATATTTCCACACATTCCTGAGTAAAATGCTTTGTAAAAACAAAATTTCTGAATTTGGAGGTAAATATTTCTGATTTGATCCCAGTGGGTGGGATCATGCTGACTGCATTAGTCTCTCTCTGCATGGCGGCGTGTGGTGCACTCTCATCAATCACTCCAGGCACAGAAGAATGAGAGGCTGGATCACAATCAGGACCTTATTAGCCCCAACCTCCCCTGATTGGAGTTTTGGTACCAATCATGTTCTCTCTTCAGCAATGGTCTATCTCAAGCTTGGACTCATTTTCACTGATTTCCATCAACTTCAGGGTAAATTATGTGCCTTCTTGGGCTCCTGAACCCCTCAACTGTTTCTCTGTTTCCTTCTTCAGGAATATGATAGGACATGGGGTACCCAGTACCAGCCAAGATGGAGTAAGCCAACTATAGTCTACCTTTCCTACTGAACACAGCCAAAAACTGGACAAAATGTTAAGAACAAATACCTGAAAAGCCGGAAAAGCAAAAAGCAGGCAGGCTGAGGGCTAAAGTCAAAACTCGAATAACAACCCATAGTCTGGGTGAATTTTATGGAGCTTTTTTCTTCTTTGCCTCATGGATTTGACCTGAGGATAGGCCAAGGCCTTTGAATTATGTATTAGGTGCTGTTGGAAAAGCTGCAGGAGAAATCACCTCTTGCTAACCAGAAGACCAGGAAAAACAACCCTGCATGACAGAGAGTGTAAGAGAAATCCCCAATATATTTTTCATGTTTTCTTTTCTCTTTTCTCTCCCAGCTGTGCCCTGTGAGCAGCCCCAGCCACCGGGCTGCATTACCACAGGAGAAGCAGCAACATAGGCAGCCAAAACCTCCAAAGAACTCCATCTCACTCCATGAAAGGGCCTGTGCTGTTCCAAGAATGGATAATCCTTGCTACTTTATTTTTTCTCTTTCCTCTTGCTGCTTTTTCCCCAAAGGCAACCCCAGTCACACAGAACAGCACAACGGTACAGAAAACTAACCTCAGAGAGAACCCTAGCTTCCTAGCTGTTAAGAACTAAGAAAGGGAGGGTCCTGGAAGCCGGAGAATATAAGGATTGCCAGAGAGGAAGGAGCTGAAAAGGGACACCTTCTAATTCTGTGAGGGATATAAAGTCCCAGACTCGACGTCTAGTTTTTGTACACATGCAAAGATGCCCAGCAAAGGCTTCAGAAACTGAGCTACCAAAGTCCCAGACTAAACTCTGAGTGGTGTATGTAACAAATAGAACCAAATAGCATAGCAAAGGCTTGAAAACAGAATTGACAATGGAATCTCCACCACAGAAGATGAGACACAACTTGTAGTCTGAACCTAATCCAGATTAATTGCCTGCTAACACAAGCAAACAAAAAAGTCAATGTTCACTAGAGGATTTTAATAGAACCCAGAATCTTATAACATAACACTAAAAATATTCTGGATATATTCCAAAATTACTCAGTGCACAAAGAACCAGGAAAATCTGACCAATACTCAGGAAAAAAGATAAAGAATAGATGCCACCTGCAATATGATCCCAGCTGGAATTAGCAGACACAGATTTTAAAACACCTATTATAACCATTAGGTAAAGATGAACATTCTTGAAATATCTGGAAGGACAACAGTTCTCAGCAGAGAAAGAAAAAATGTTTTGTTTTGTTTTTTAAAAGCTAAATGGAAAATTTTGAACTAGAAAATATCTGAAATTAACAATTCACCAAACTGGCACAATAGCAGAATGGAGATGACAGAGGAAGGAGAACTTAAAGATAGATTGGTAAAAATTATGCAAGAACAGAGAGAAAAGATTGAAAAATTAACAATCTTAGGGTCATGATGATCTAACATTCATATCATTGGCATCTCAGAAAAAGAGACAGATTGATTCAGAAAATATATTTGAAGAAATAAGGGCAGAAAACTTGGCAAATTTGGTGAAAGATATATATATATATAGATTCAAGAAACTCAATTGATCCCAATCAGGTTAACTTCAATAAAACCCATACTCTAGACACATCATAAACTGTTGAGAACCAAAGGTAGAGAGAACATTTTGAAAGCAGCCAGAGGAAAAAATAGTAATTACATATAAAAGAAACTATGACTACAAGCTTCTTATCATAAACCATGGAACCCAGAAGACAGTGAAAGAACATCATTGAAGTACTAGAAGAAAAATAAAGTGCAGGAAGGAAAGAACTGTCAAATCAAAAATCTATATCCACAAAAATATCTTTCAGGAATATAGGCAAAATAATGACATTCTCAGATAAGGAAAATTAAGACAATTCATCACCTACAGACTTGCTCGAAAAGAAATGCTAATGGAAGTTCTTCAGGATGAGGGAAAATTATACCAGAGGGAAACAGAACTTTAGGAGAAGAAAAGAACAAAAGAAATGATGAATATCTGCATAAATAGAGTGTTTTTGACCTCTTAAGCTCTTTAAAATATGTATAACTGTTGAAAGCAAAAATTATAACATTGTCTATAATGTTTCAATGTAAATAGATGTAATATATATGATAACTATAACATAAAGGGATTGGGTAAAGAACTATAGTGGTTATAAGACTTCTATATTTTACCTGATGTAGTAAAATATTACTTCTAAGTATATTGTGAACATTGGGTATATACACTGTAATCCTTAGAGCAACTAGAAAAAAATACCACAAAGACATACAGCCAAAAAGCCAATAAATAAATTAAGAAAAAATATACAAATAATCTAAAGAAGTCAGGAAAGAATAAAACAGAAGGGGCAAAAAGAAAACCAAACGGTAGCATTAAATCCAACCATAGCAACAATTTTATTTAACATAAATTGTTTAAACACCAATTAAAAGAGATTTTCAGATCAGACAAAAACTCCAATACATGCAGTCTATAAGAAAACACATTTTTAAATATAATAATATAGGTAGATTTAAAGTAACATGGCAGAAAAAAATACCATGAAAACAGTAATCAAAAGAAAGCTGGAGTGACTATATTAATTTCTAAGTAGACATCAGAATAGGGGAAATTACCAGAGATAAAGAAAGATATCACATAATGATAAAAGGGTAAATTCACCAAGAAGACATGATACTAAATATATATGTACCTAACAAGAGACCTCCAACATACATGAAGCAAGAGCTGACAGAACTGAAGAGAAATAGACAAATCCATAATTATACTTGAAAACATTGTGGAGCCATAATCCTAAACTCTTAGCCATAATTTCTCTCAGGGAGTGTTACATAGATTGGTCCTCTCTGTGCCACAAAGTGACCCTGTTCCAGAGAGCTTAGAGTGAGTGTGGCACCATGTCCAGCATGGTGAACATACACCGCCTCGCCAGATGTGGGACTCTAAGCATGGCCAGACATTAGCTACTTGTTGAAATTTTAAAGGAAATCAAGAGTAATTTTCAAACAATATCTCTCTGAGAAACCTGAGAAAACTCAAGCATAAGATTAAGAGTTTGTTGTGGACAGATTTTTTTTTTTTTGCATCCATCATCTATCCTCCCATTTCTGGTAACTGTGTCCATATTTTGCTTTAGGGAAAATACCCCTTCCCCAGCTTGAGCCAAAATCAACTTAAGTCAATATAGTTTATCCTCCTGACTCCAGTGATTGGTCAGAGATTGGACATATAACCCCACCAGAACCTATGAGATGCAAGGACATACTTTCTGGGGCCTCTTGGGGAGAGAACTTCCTCTCTCCTCCTTGGGAGCTGCAAGAAAAGAGGGTGTCCCTTTAGCCAGATGGTGTGGTGGGAGGGTATGAGAGCTGGCAGGCTAGTCTTTTTGATATCACAGGGAAGAGCCTAGAACTATACTTTGTGGAATTTGAGGGTAAAGCCTGAAGCTGTTGAAGGCAGAGTGGAAGGACAGTCAGAAAAGGGTCTTGGATAATATCATTTGAGTTTCTGGTTTAAGCCTTACCTAAAGACAGAACAACTCTGGTATTTTCCATTATGCAAGACAATGTGCTTTTTTATTTGTGTCGGGTTTTCTGTTATTCATAATATCATTCATAACATAGATTTTACTAACACAGTGTTTGCCAGGTCATCCCCTTCTAAATCCATGTCTTTCCCCCAAAATAAAAACAAAATCCTTGTGATACAAATGCTTCTACTTTTAATGCTTGACAGTATCTTTTACTTGTAGAGAATAATGACATGCAGGCATTTTAAAGGACAAGGCTTTATATGTGGAAATAATAATCTCTTAATGAATAGCAATTTTCATATAAAACAGAATTTTTCAGAATTTAAAACCACAAGCAAAGTTTTCCATTTCTATATTTATACAAAATGCTATTAACTCTACTTTTGCTAAAACGTGAAGAGCATTACTCAAGCTAATGTATCTTGAAATGATCAACCACCTCTAATTCTTTATTTTTTTTGAAGCGTATTTGGCAGTTAAAAATTATATATATTTAAGTGTATATTTTGATGATTTGATATACATATACATTATGAAATAAATCATCACAGGCAAGTTAAAAAAATAGCATATCCATCACCTCAGATAGTTATCCTTTTTGTGTGTGTGTGTGATTCTTAAAGAACAAGAATAGATTCAAAAGGCCCCATCCTCCTAGACCCTATTGGTACTCAGAGAGAACAATGGTTTCCAATTCCTTTGTGGGTTTTGCACTGTAGGCTCAAGCTAACTTCTTGAGGGAAAATGCTTTACTGAAAAGTGCAGTCATCTCTAACTTCAGTGGAAAAGATTCAAACTATCCAGTAGAACAAAGATTAGGTGCTTAAAATCAGGGAGTTCCTAAAATGACAAAGGTTTTGTAGATAAGGATCTGGAAAGACTGAAGTGGAGTTACTTCTGGGTAGATGTGAGATTCAAGAGATTGGTCTCCATGAGGCATTTGTCAAGGACCTGCAAAGCTACTCGGAGGTGAAGGAAGCACCGTTCTTTCCAGGAACTTGTCCTTGGCCTGGTGGGTAGATGTCTGTCCCATACACAGGACCCTCATCCAAGAGAATAATAGTTGGAGGGGCACAGGCATCCAGTGTGTGAGTAAGGGCTGCATGAAAGAGGTATCACATCAGAGAAGCTTCCTGACCGGTGGCTTTGAGGAAAGGGAGGACTCAGCATGTGGAGATGAGTTTGGCTTTCCAGGCCAGAGAGAAGAACATGAGAGAGACACAGGGAAGAGGAAGGGCAGAGTGGAGCAGGGGCACTGAGTAGTCCAGCTGGAATGAGGCTGCCATAAAGCCACCTTCTCTGAGGGAGCGCTACTGCAGAAAGGCTTAATTCATGATGAGGGCCTACTCACAGGCCCTCAGGTGAGCTGGGTGAGAGACCTCCTACCAATACCCCAGAGGCCACACACTCCCAAAAAGGGCACAGTCCAGTGGAAAAGGTCTACAGCCCTGGGTTTGATATCAACCTCTGCCACTCAATACCAATATGACCTTAGGCATTCACTTAGCTGTCTCAACCTCAGGCCCCCAAGTGTAAAAAGAGAATAATACCTTTCCTGTGTATCTCACAGAATTGACATGAACAAGAGGAGAAGCAATGGGAACAGAATAGCACCATCAAACTATTTGTTGCAGTTGGTTATCTTGTCACCTATGTGACACTCCCCAGGAAATGTTATTATATTTTAATTGCCATAACATAACAGATCTTTGAGGGTGCCATGTCTTCTTCAAGACTGGGAACATAGCATGTGACTTTTTAAAAAAGGTATTTGATGAATGAATAACTGAGTGGATAATGTTCAGAGCCTTCCAACTACATAAAGAAATCAGTCTCCTAACTACACTGAAAACCTATGGCTGTTCTTTGACTTTTGGGTTGTTTGGCCTGGTGAAAGCTCTAAGTCAGTGGTGACCAGTTGGTGTCATGGTAGAGAAGGAAGCCTGTGAAGGTGGAGTCGTTGACATTATCTGCATAGAGCCCATTATTCTCTCCATCCCCGTACACCTGGAGCCAGACTTGGTCGCCTATCTCCAGGTAGAGAAGCACAGAGCCAGAGGCCTGGTCCAAGTTCTTGTCCTGGTACTGGTCATAGGTGAAGAGCACGGCCTTGTCCTTCTTGTAGAGGCTGACCTTCACATCCTTCAAGTAGACTGTGATATGGTAGGAAAAATAGTACAGCCCAGGAATGTTGCAGTGGAATTTTCCAGTGGAGCCATCATAGTGGTTTTGCTGATTATAGAAGATTTTGGTGAAGCGAATGGGAACATTGGGGACAGTGACCCGGGTCTCCAGTCCCACACTGAATGCTGAGCGGTATACATAGGCGCTTTCTCCAGGTTCTCCTTTCCTGCCTGGGATTCCTGGAAATCCTCTGGGACCTTCAACCCCAGTCACTCCAGTTTCACCACTGTCACCCTTAGGACCAGCAAGACCTAGAGAATGAGAAGACCTCGGTGACCACAAGAAACAGAACTCCCGCCTCCACTGGTTCCAGCCTAAAGCACTGTCTCTCTAGCCCCTACCCACAGCCTGCTTGACTTACAGAGCAAGGAACCAGTGGGAGCTCCCAAAGGGAACAGTTATGTCTCTTCCTTCCACATGTGCCAGCACAGCCTCTGTGAATTCATCTCCACCTTATCTCCTATAAGACTCCATCATAGACCCTCCACCCTGCCAACCCTGTGTGTGCTGGCTCAACCAACTACACTTTTACTCTTCTATCCCCTCTTCAGGGATGCCCTCCCTCCTCTCTTCTGCCTACCCATCCTTCAAGACCTAGCTCAAGCCCAGCCTCTTCTTTAAAGCCTTTGTTATTAATCCAGGTCTGCATTGAGGGATTTTTCCTCTGTTCCATACTTTGGGCATTTATCCACACTCAACCTGGCATATTTGGGGTAGACTTGCTTGTAGCAGCCTCTGACAAAGTCTTGTGCATTAGCTAAACCAAGAGTTCTCCAAGAGTAAGGCTGTGGTTTGCAGGTGGTGTGCATTAAATGTGGTTGAATGCCAATGGACAGAATGGGAATTAAGTGGAAATGAAGGGAACTAGGAATATGAACAGAATAGGGATGGGAGAGGATGGGGATCTCCTGGAAGGGCCCAGGAAAGGTGATATCAGTAGAGCAGAGTCAAGGGTTATGGTTTTATAGGTACCACCTATTCTCGCCACTAGAAGGCCAATCCAAAATTCACTTCAGGTTGCTTATGGGTCACAGAAAAAAGCTTTGCTTCTTCCCTGTGTCTAGGCCTTATTTAATACCCTCTGCCCCCGTAGAGCTCTAGAAGCCCTCCCCTTCCCAGGAGAAGTCTGTGACGGAGGAAGCCAAATACTTTGTTCTTACCTGAATCTCCTTTCTCGCCCTTCTCCCCTGGGGTGCCATCTCTGCCATCACGGCCTGGGATCCCATTGTGGCCTGGATGCCCTGGGATGCCTGCCATCCAGCCCGGGCAGGCCCCCTTGGGCAGGGGAATCAGGCCTCGCGGCTCTCTGGTCGTGGTGTCCTGGCCGTGACTGGGCAGGACTAGTAGCAAGAAAACAGCTTGTACCAACAGCATCCTGAGACCTGGAATCCGGATCTGCGCTGTCAGCCACAAGAGAGCAGACCACACACAGCACACCCAGTCAGGACCTGAGCAGGACTCTGACCATCCCAGCACAGTCCACGGCCGAGACCTGCTCTTCCAATACTCAGCACTTCCCTGGGAGACTTTTCTGACTGTTTCAGACCCTTTTGCTCTCTTTCTGCCCTGATGCTTACAATAGTTAGTATTCTTCTTTGCATGCAATCTCCTTTCCTCAATGAGATTGTGAGTTCAGTGATGCTGAGACAATACTCCCCCAATTTCCCCAATCTGAGCACAGGTCAGGCACAGAGACTCCAAAAGTCAACTGGGCAAGAACATATCCCTTGGGTTTTCCAAGTATGATGGCTTAGACCATCCCTTTAACTCAACCTGACTTCCCTTTATCCAGCTCTTTCCTTTTTCTTCTCTACTTCCCTTTCTTTATCGGTTTGTTCCTCCTCCTTTCTCTCATTCCTTTTCCTCTTCTCCCCCTCTCCTGGGTCATGTTATATCATAAGGTATATTACACATATACACACACATACATACATATACATCCATACATATGCATGCATACACGTGTACACATTCATGTATATACACATGCACAATACACACACACACGCAGCCTTGCCTTGAATTAGCCAGACAACCAGACACACTTGTCCTATCCCATGAGAATATTCACTGACCCTTTGCCTGGCCCCCCTTAGCTGCTGCTCCTCACCTGCCCAGTCACCAAGCAGCCTTCTGGACACAGCTAGACGTTGTCTCTGCGGGGAACTCCTCCCAGCCCCACCGCCTGTCTGGGCTGCTGTTACTCCTCTGGACTCCCCCAGGGCCCTCGCTTTCCTCTAGCATTGCCCTTCTTGCACACACAGTAATTCCTGATCTGCTTGCCCATTTCTACCATTAAACTATAAGCACAGGAGGCAAAGCCTAACACACTACCAGCACAGAGCAGGAACTAAATGAATATTTTATAATGGAAAAAAGAACAAGCAAGAAAGCCTGAGAGAGGAACAAAGACAAAAGGGAGAAAAGGAGGCAGGGAGAGGGAAACAGGGTGGGAAGGTGGAGTATATTTGAAATATGTATTCTGGGAGCCCCAGCAAAAAGATGCCAAGGGACTCCTTGTCTCAGAACCATCCCTCCAAGTCATCTTCCCACCAGGTGGTTCTTTCCATCCCCTCCTGGCTCTGCCTCTGATACTAGGGTGACCTTAGCTCTCCACAGCTGATTTCAAGAATCTTAGTCTCCTCATCTTTCTCATTAGGAAATTGAAAGAAAGGAACCACAGAGAGAGAAATAGATCCTAAGATCCTGACTTGCATCACTAAGAGCATCTGTGGGGTTTGAAAAGTTAATCCCAAGAACCTGATTCTAAACTAAACACAGTCCATATGTACTTTTTAACCGAAAGACTAACAATTTTTCATCCATTTACTTTTCTCTTATAGATTACACAAAGTCTGTAAGACTGGGTTTGGCTTCAGGAGACAGCTCTTCTGAGAGATGCAGGGATGACCCTGACTGGCAATCTTATCTCCGAAGACATGACATCTGGAATCCCANATATATATATATATATATATATATATATATATATGATGGGTATACATGGATACCCATCATATATATATGTGTATGTACAGTCTCATCTTTCATATATACATATACCCACACACATTCTTTAGAACTAGTAATGTAAACACATCAGAAACTACAGAAAATAAAACAATATGAATCCCAAGAACTTCTGTTTAGTTTTAAACATAGTGAAAACACACTTTATAGAAATTTATTCTCCTCTATTTGCCTTGTCATTTTCTAGTTTTTATAATCACCATTTCAAATGTATGCATGTTACTCTGAGTGGATATAGCCAAAATATGCTTAGCCATTTCCAGTTTATTGAGCTTTTAGCTTATTTCCATTTTAAAATGTTATCTTAAAAATCTGTAATAAATATCCTTAGGCATATAGATTATCCTCATGTTATTATTATGACATATCCCCAAAAGCAAAATTACTGGGCCAAAAGGTATGAACGTTCTTAAGGCTCTTGATGCATATTCCCAAATTGCAATGTATTAATACTGTTACCCAGTAGTATGTGTATAAAAGAGCTTATCTTAACTCCTCTTACCAGCTTCAGATATTATTAAAAGCAATTTTTGTTATTGTTATTTTAGTGAACAAAAGAAATGGTACCTCACTACTTTGATCATCAGTGAGTACATTGTATTAAAGGCCAATTTCCTAATTTAGCTTCCTGTCCTAATTCCTCATTCATGATGCCTCTGTTAGTGTTTTTGTCAATTTATTAGGGCTGCCATGTGCTTCTGGAACCAGGTTGTGTGAGCTCTTTATGCCAACACTTTGTCACATATGCTGTGACTATTTTCTTTGATGTGCAGATTATTCCTTTGCTTTGTTTATCCTGATTTTTAAGTGATAAAAGTTTTATTTTTTTATATAATCAACTCTGTAGATATTTTTCCTTGTTTCTAAGTGTTAGCAGTCCTTATCCATGCTAGGGTTTGGTAAATATTCTGTTGTATTTTCTTCTGTTGTTTGATACATTTTAAGTTTCACTCTTTAATCATTTTGTTTTGCTGTAAGCTGTGATCTAAAATGTTCAAATGATTTCTCCCTGTTAGAGGATTAACTGTTCAAATTCCTTTAATGAACATTTTCTCAATCAATGGGATGCAGCATTTTTCTAATATGATTTTGTAAGTAAAGTGACAGTTGAGAATGAGACTGACAGACGGAAGGGAGGAAAGAGAGACAAAGACAACACAGCAACTGAGACAGGCACTCTTGGAGAGGAGGCTGCCCAGTGCGGTCCTGGGTCTCCAGTTAAGGCTCGTGCTTGCCTTCTACATGCACTTTCATCGCCCTCTACTGGATGTGGAGGGCTCAGGAAAGTGTTCTCAATAGCTGCTGGAAATACAGTGAGACAAAATTTAAGTCTTGTCTTGTCCCAAGATAAGAAGAAAGATGTGAGATAGAAGAGAAACCAATGAGAAGAGACCAGCTAAGACCTTTCTGAATTTAGGAAGAATATCTATTCTGAGATCTTTAAGACTTCATATGTCTTTAAATTTTCCCACTATTTGTTACCTCCGTCCTTTGTCCTTATGGGGTTAGTAGTAAAACTTCTAAGATCTCTGAGCAGCTCTGTGTTCACTTCCTCCAGAAATTAGGAAGGAAGAATGTTCTTTTCCACATAAAAATGTAAGGAGAGAATCCAGAACATGAGAACTAGTGGAGGCAGCTACAGAGGGCCCCAAAGATGGAGAGTGATTGGGGATTTACCCCCAAACCACTGGAGGGAGTGTGAGTCAGGTCTCTAGAACTCTCTGGTTCCTTCTCCTCTTTTAAAAACCAAGATTCCATTCTCCCAGTCCAATGATAAGCATTCTGTACTCAACACTTCAGTGTCATGGACAGATCTCTCCACTGACAGGGTGACTGTCCAGCTTCCATGACAGAGGCATGGGCTGGAGCTACAAAAAGAGAGGTGGGGAGAAGATCCCGGAAAGTTTCTGTGGTAAAAACAGGTTCTGACTGAAGAAAGCTGTATTCTAACCAAGTTATATGTAGAAAAATTAGCGACTGATAACAATTGATCAGGGCACAGGTGCCTAACTTTCAAAAAATTTTTCCAGAATTATTTGTGCTCTTTGTTTAGATATAGCAATTGTTACACTTTGATTTTAAGAGATTCCCATTTCCATAGATGAAAACATTATCAAATGAAACTGTAATCTAAGACTCAATTGTGCCTAAAGAGAAAACTTTCACATGGATCATGAAGCTAAATCCCAAGTTATGATTCTTTGTGGAGTGCTATTTGTAAAGTCCTTTATCTTACTTAGTGTCCCATTTAAGTCTCACATCCATTGTCAGACACAGTATGAGTAGAATAGGCAGCACATACCCTATGACCTCAGTGCCTGGGTGAAAATAATTTGTTCTTACCTGTGACATGTTTCAGTCATATATTTGTTGGAGGATTAAGTGGAAAATTCCATATAAAGTACTTAGAACTGTGCATGGCACATGTCAATGCTCAATAAATGTTGGCCATGACTGTACCCATTTCAGAGAAGAAGGAAGTGGGTTTCAGGGAGGTTATGTGACTTGTCCAAGATCCTGGAGCTAAACTCACGGGAGCTGAAAATCAAACTCTGGTTTTCAAAAGCCTAGTAATGGACTCTGAGGCATAGCCCAGAAAAGGGGAAAAAAAGCATCTGGGTCACACCTGCCTTTTAATATTCTGCTCCACAGGATAGGGGATATAGTCTAGAGAAAATAGACTGTAAAGACTTAGAGAGGTTGATGTACGTGACCTGGCTTCTGGTCTAGGCTCCACCATTATCTCACTGGGTGACTTCAGCCCCTGCCCCACCTCTCAGACCTCATGCTCTTTGCCTCCCAATATGAGCAATGATTTTAACCCTTGCCTAGCCCATTTCACAATCTTATTGTGAGAGCCAATTGATTGAAACTACGAAGTATTTTATAAAGTGTTCCACACTTGTAAGTGAAGAAAAGGGAATCAAATATTCATGGACACCTGCTATAGACCACCACTGCACATCGCCACCCTTTTTGTCTCATTTCACTGCCACAACTCCAGGAGGTAGGACTCGATCCCCTTAAGAAAGTCAGAGAGGTGTAGTAATTCACAGGGGAGAGTACAGGGGTACAATATGAAACCCAAAGCCTGAGGTCTTTCTACTACACTGGGTCTCATGGTACACTGTGCACAGGTATGGATCTATTAACTTTCTATTAGTTAATAGATCTATTAACTATTTCTCTGGATACTAAAGGGCCATTTTATGAGCTCCCATTTTCATATGTTAAAATTCATGAGAAATTCCACTTTGACCTGCTGGAATTTCAGGAACAACAGCAGAATCTTATGAAATGCAAGGATGAGGTCTCCTTGGGGAGCAGTATGGGAAAAAGAGGTCACCAAACCCAGTTGCCAACTCTTCCA